CTGAACCAAGCCTCAGAGACACCGGGCAGCCCCTTCCGCTGGGACATCTCACCACACACCAAGGGGGCAGGCGTGGACGTGAGCAGGACTGGGCTGCCCCAGGAGTGAGGAGAGGCACACGGGAGGGCGGCGCCCAGAGCTGAGCTGGGCATGAGCCTAACCAGAGCCCCCGGCCAGCCCCCAGCACGGCCAGCCCCTGGCACAGTCCGCCTCCGACTGACCGCCACCCCTCTGTTGGACTGAGCCGCCAGCCCAGAAGGGGCCGGGCCAGGGCAGGCAGACACCACCCCCAGGTCAGGCGCAACTGCCGGGCTCCCTGGGCATGCGGCCACCTGCTGGCCACTGTGTCCTGCCATCAGGGATCTCGAGGATCAGTCATTCCTGCTGCTCCCGGACACCGTGTGCTCTTCCCGCCCCTTCTCCGCAATACCAAAGAAGGATCTAGAAGATAAGGGGCAGGGCTCTGCTCCCTCTGACTCTGTGACCTTGAGATGGAGCTCACGAGCCTCTGAGGCTCAACTCAGTGTGAAAGTGGGGTGCTCAGCATCAGTCCTGGAGTACTCTGGGCACCCAGGACCCACCCGGCTGCTGCAGGGCTGCCTGATCTGCTACTGTCACACTCTACACTTGATACTGTCAGGGCTCCTGCACACCTGGGAGGAGAGGAATTGGTTTCAGGAGAGAGAACACCCCTGGGAGCCCCGGCCCATGGTGCTCAGCAGCCCAGACCCAGTGCCCCTGGGGCACTCCCATTCACACACTTTCACTCTTCTGGGGCACAGACTTGGGGCTGCTGCAGGCCAGTGAGGGTGCTTCCTCAGAGGCAGGCTGAGCTCTCGTGGGGCCAGGTCCTTCGCCAAGAACTGCCCACTGGACGGTGGAGAGAGTGGGGGCAGGGACTGAGTCCTGGGGTCCTGGGTCCTTCATTCAGATGTAACATGGGGGGAGCTCTGGGATTGGGCTGATTTTGGACAGAGGTTAGTAGCGCCTTGCCGTCCTGTCCACACCCAGAAGCAGCTCTTCTGACCAAAAACAGCAGAGTAGAAAGAGAAAGCTGGCTGTTCCGTCCACACTGCAGGAGGAGCGAGAACACAGGGCAGGTGCGCCGCGGACACTGGCCTGGGGACGCACCCCATGCCGCCCTCTTCCCGGCGGGCCTGCATGTGCGTGACCACTGCTGCCCAGCCAAGCGGGATGGTGACGGGCAGGACAGGGCCCTTACGGAAGGAAGACACCTGCTCTTCAAGAGCCACCAGTTTCCCCAGAGGAATTAGTTTTTTATGCAAATCATCTAATTAAAATACAATTTAAATTATTTCTCAAAAAATATTGCCCACAGCCCCACCAAGTACCTGGCACAGAGTCGTGATGAAGACCTACTGGCCGCTCTGTCTTCTCCACGGAATAGGACTCCACACACATTTTCACACTTCTGCATTACTAACCTGGGCCAGCCGCACAGTGTGCCATCCGGACCTCAACACCTGCTCAGCCGGACCGAATACTGACCACTGGCCACCGGGCAGCTCCCCCCGGAACCTCCTATTTGTCTAGGTGGCTCAACGACAGACACAGGCACGTGCTCTGCTACATTATTTCTTTGCATTTCCAGAATCGAAGCCCCTGAGCATGTAGGCATTTTTACTCTGCTAGAGACTGCTGAGTTGATTTCCCAGAGACTCCCCCAGGGGTCAGTGAACTACAGCCTGTGAGCAAAACAGCATTTCAGTGGGACACATGCGCCCTTTCATTTCCACATGGTCCGCTGCGCTTTCCCACCTCCCAGCAGGAGCTCGCTATAACAGAGGCCCCACTGCACACAGTGCCCCAAATCGCCACTCTGTGGCCCTCCACAGGAAAAGTTTGCCAACCCCAGACATACATTCCCAGACGCCTGTGGTCCGGCACTCTAACAGAAGTGAATGTGCAGGACTCCAGAGAGAAGGAAGCGGAGGCAGGACCTGCTCCTCCATCTCAGATCCGCAGGCGGCAGGAACTGCCAGCTGGTCACCAAGCCTGTCCCTGTTCACCCACGGCAACATCGCAGGCGGACGTGCGGCTTCAGCCTCCCTCTCCCCTTTGCCACTAGAGTAAGAGAACAAAGCGGGAAAAGACAAGACACACAGCAAAGCCAAATGCCTCAACACCCAGCAGAATTTTCAAAAGGAGAAGACAAAAGGAACAGTGAAGAAAACTTGAGCAGTTAAAAAAAATCCCGAGGTGAACAGCAATCTAAGTGGTCAGGTCAGAATGGCCAGGGAGAGCGAGGCACAAGGAGGGAGAGTGACCCACCGATTTCCTCACACTTCCGGCAGGACTTCCTGGAGAAACAGACGCTCTCACAATCCCAACCAGGGAAGTCAATACCCTCACCCCAAAGTAAAAAGAATAGACAAAGTATCAGTAGGCCACAGAGGCGGCGCTAGCAAACGACTTGGCTTCGGTGACGTAACTCGCCCACGGCAAGGACAGACACACGGTCCAGGAGCATGAAGATCTTCTAAGAAATGCATCCTATTTCTGACCAAAAAGCAAGGTTAAAATATTTTAAAGGACACAATCCACACAAAGTATGTTATTTCACCAATATGAAATTAATTAGAAATCTGAAAGTGACAGCTATCTGGGAAAAAACCTAAATCTACGGAAAATAAACACACCGCAAAATAAACTAGGGGTGAAAGAGGCTGTCCAAAGTAAAGTTACAAAGTATCTTGAAGGGGAGACTATAAAAACACAACACATCAAGACCTGGGAGATGCTGCTAAAGCAGTCCCTCAGAGAGCACTCACAGCACTAGACACCCAGCTCGAGCTCGGACAGAAGATGCACGACCTCAGCCTTCGCGTGAAGAAACTAGACAACGCATGCACAAGCTCCAAAGTAGCAGAACTGAAGTAATACAGATCAAAGTGAAAATCAATGAACTACCAAACAACGAACAACAGAAATCAAATCAAAAAGAAAATCATAAGAGATGATCAATAAGGTTGTTACACCTGTCGCCAGAATGAAGAAAAGACACAGCACTGATCAGAGACGACAGAGGAGTGACGTATGTCAAGGGGGTGGAAAGGGGATGTCATGACCAGCTTTAGGCTTCGATTTGGCAGCTGAGGAGAAACAGGCATGTTCCTTGAAGGGCACTCAGCGCCGCAACTCACGCCAGAAACCAGCGCCCAGCCGCCCTCTGTCTCACAGACACTGCAGTTCAAACCTTTGCACGTTGAGGTGTGAGGAGCAGCTTGACAGGGGAGATGCTGGCCTCAGCGTAGGCGCAAGGCCCCACAGTGGGGTTGTTCTCCTCTTAGCTGCTGTTTGAAAGCTCTTCATGCAGTGATTCAAGAGCTACACCCTCACACTGCTGTGTGGTGTGTCTTAAACTAACACAGAGTTATTTGCTAATTACATCTCAGTAAAACTAGACTTCATCAAAAGTAAAGTCTGGATCTGTAGAAAACCCTGTTAAAAGAATAAAAAGAAGCTATAGAACAAAAGTGTTTGCAAACCACATAATGTGTCAAAGGAATTCTATCTGGGGGCCTCCTGGTGGCACAGGGGTTAAGACAGCACTATGAAGCTATCCGCAGCCACTGCAGCATGAGTTTGATCCCCAGCCAGGGAGCTACCCACATGGTGCAGCAGACCTCTCCTGTCTCCCGCTGCTCCCGTCAGCAGTGGATTTCAGTGGATCCACCTGTTCCATTTCTCACTCTGCCCCTAGTGAGCCCACTAACCCCAGCACCTCTGGCCTGCACCCCAGTTCTTACATGCGTGCATAAATAAAACAAATCTTTAAAATAAATAGGGCTTCTACTTGGAATAAACAGAGAACTCTCAAACTGGAACCATCAGCTTTGGGGGAACGACTGATACCCCAACGAGAAAGGATCTCTTGTACACCATGAAGACAAAGTAAACCATCCGGAGAAAAATAAATTGCACAGACGACTCGGACACTAGAAAGCATAAATGGCAACTCAAATACAGGACCAGTGACGGACCTCACGGTAGCCACAAAATGCAAATGAAACCTGGACCCCTCTTGTGTGAGGTGACTGCCCAGCAAAGCGGCAGGATGCCAGGTGCGGAGGTGGTGCCCACCCTGAGGGGAAGCTCGGCATCCACATATCATCTTAAATTTGCATTCATGTTGATTCAGCAATTCTGTTTCCCAGACAGACCTGCCCACGGCATATGGGGCCTGGGGGCAGCTAAAGCTAAAGGCTTTCACAGCAGCAAGTAACTGGGGTACCGAGGCGGTGAACAGGGAGTGTGCACAGCAGAAAGCTGAGAAGCTGTTGAAAAGAGGGCTGGACTGTTTTGCAGAACTTGGAAATAACTCTGGGGCCCCAACCAAAGCCAGCTGCAAACTCCACCCTGCAGGAGCCCTGCAGGAGCCTGGGGCCTGGAAACCAGAAAGCCACGTGGCATGGGCGCACCCCAGGGCCCCCTGTCCACGTGCAGCGCGAGCGCCCTCTGACACCACCGCACCAAGGCCGGGTGGGCATGGGAGCCGCTGGGCTTCTGTGTGTGGGAGGACAGACCCGGACCTTCCGAGGTGGACTTAAGGCAGCAGGAACCACGGGGACTCTCAAACGCCACGCCTGGGCGAGGGCTGCTGAGATGCCAGGCGTCAAGCACAGCCGAGCTCGGGTCTCCTTAGAAGACAAGGACGCGGCCCTGGGACACCACAGCCTGCTCTGGGACACCGCGGCCTGCTCAGCACCACCGACTCAGAACTTGTGGACTCAGCAAACACCTGGAAAGAGCTCGCCACAGGACTCTAAAGGCTACGGCTGGGGCCTGTGGTCAGGCATAGCAGGGAGAACTGAGGCATCCTTCCTGCCGCGGCTCCAAACCCGACACACACACTGGGGCTGGCGTTGGTGAGGGAAGGGCTCACAAAAAGAAGTGAGAGGCTGCTGCACCCTCAGAGCACGGCAGGCAGGAGGGTGCTGGAGCCATCCGGGGCACCTGCAGGGAAAAGCGCCTCTCACCTGTGGTCTTGGCGGAGGAGGCAGCTGACAGCCCATTGAGCTCGCTCGGACTTCTTTTCACAGGCCTGGGCTTGTACTCGCGTCTGGGGGCGCTGGACGCAGCCGAGATCCTGTAACACACGCAGGAGCGTCAGGTGCCGAAGGCGGCCGCCAAGCCTGCCTGGCTCCTGGCACGCGGGGGGTGGGGGCTTCACCGGGAAGCTCCAGGGCTGATGAGACACCAAAGGGGCTGCTCACCCGCATCCCCTTGGGCAGAGAGAACGACCCCACCCTGGCGGGCACGAGGCTGCACAGGCCTCAGCCACTGGCCCCTGCCGCGCTCCCTGCCCACAGCACTGATTCAAGCACATGCTTGCAAATTTCTGTTCTCAAACCTGGTGCAAAAGCAGGGCGTTTTTTAAAGCCAGTGTTTCACTGCAGCGCGAGCAGCACACGCCCCTACTCCCCCAGAGTCCAGGCAACCCTGCGGGAGGCTGGGCACACGCCCTCGGGCGCTCCGGAGCCCTCCTGCCTGCCAGCTGCCTCCTGGGTCGGTGCTGTGCCGGGAAGCGCCCGCCCCACCCTCCCAGACCCCATGCCAGGGCGCGTACGCCGTCCCATGCCCCACGCTCGCGATGCCCTAGGAAGCTGGGCAGGCGGGGGCAGCCCAGCAGCGGGCTGCGGGTTGGCGAGCCCGTCCATGCAAAAGCAGCAGACCCAGGACCCTGACCCAGCCGGCCCCCCCAAAGCCGTACATCGCCGCCCGGGGCCATCCCACCCCCACCCACGCCGCTCCCGGGAGCCGGGCAGACAGCGGGAGCCCCGGCGGGGGCGGCGGGGGCTCACCGCGCCTGCAGCCTGCCCTGCAGCTCCTGCAGGATGCCCGCCGACTGCCTGTGGTACTCCAGCGCCGCCTCCACGAGCACGGCCAGCTGGCTGACCTGCTCCACCTGCGGCCGAGCAGAGGCCCTGGTGAGGCGGGGCCCGGGCCCGGGCTCCAGGAGGCGCCACGGCCGCGCCGGGAGTTTGCCGGGAGGCCAAACTTGCCTCACGCGGCGAGGCCCAGCAGGCCCGGGGCCGCCGGCCGGGGCCCCCGGAGGGACCGGCGCAGACAAGGCCGGCCGCGCCCAGGCGCCTCGCGCAGGGGGACCCGGGGAGCCGCCCAGCTTTGCGGGGAGCCAGGGGAGCGGGGAGGGGCGGGGAGGTGTGTGTGGGGGAGAGGCGTGGGGGAGGCGGGGCGGGGCGGGGGCGGGGTGTGTATGCGCACGCGTGTGCGTCACGGGAGCGCGGCGTCGCGGAGCACGGCGTCGCAGGAGCGTGGCGTGGCGTGGGGGGCGTGGCGCCACGGGGGCGTGCTGTGGCGTGACGGGATGTGGAGTTGCGGAGAGTGGCGTCAGGGAACGGGGGCCGCGGGGCGGTGGGGCGGGGCGTTGCGGGGCGTTGCGGGGCGTTGCGGGGCGTTGCGGGGCGTTGCGGGGCGTTGCGGGGCGTCTGGCCCCGCCGCCCTCGCGCCCCCACGCCCAGCGGCGCCACGGCAGGCGGGGAGGCGGGTCCCCTGCCGGGCCGGGGCGGGGAGGCCGGGCCGGGCTGAGCGGGCGGCGCGGCCCGCACACCTGCCGCAGCGGCTCCCCGGGCCCCGGCCGGGCCGCACGCCCCCCGCCCGCCCGTTTTCCTGCGAAACCCCCTCCTCGCCCGACAGGGCCGTTCCCCCCAGCCCCGGACCCCGAGAGCCCCGGCCAGCTGAGCCTGGGGGCGGCCGTCGGGCCGGGGCGACCGCAAGGCCGGGCCACGGTGAGGGCTAGCGCCCCCCCCCCCGCCCCCGCCGGGCCGGGCGCGCCCCAGGGTTGTGCGCGCGCGCGGGGCGCCCTGGCTGCAGTGCTTACGTCGTTCTCTAAAAAGTTAAACATGCTCCTTTCCGCCAACTCCTTGGACTCTTCGAACTTGTCCACCGCTTGTCTGACTTCGTCCTCTGGTATCTTCCCTACGCGCTTCTTCTTATAGTCGTAGTCCAGGCGGCGGCCTTCCAGCTTCCTCAGGTGATGCTGAGGGAGAGAGAGAGCGGCCTCAGGCCCGCGCGAGCCAACGCCGCTGTGACGGGGCCCGGGGTGGGGCCGCCCCGCCCCCGGCTCCTCAGCGTGTCCTGACGCCCCTGCCGCGCCCTCGGGAGCGCGGGGAGGAGGTCGGCGGGGGAAGGGATGGACCGAGGGCGGGCGGAGGCCGGGGGGGTGAATGACTGTTATAAGACGCGAGAGGACGGTGCGCCCGCGGTCAGATCCATTTTCCAAAGCCCTTCATTTCAGCTCTGATAAGGTCCTGGTAAATTTGCAACCAAGTTATACTAAAAACAAGGACTTTCCTCTTGACGTTGCCATCACCTCCTCCCTAAGAAGTAGATCATAAAACACGTATCTCTAGCGCGCCCAGAACACTCACGCGTCTCCCGGGACGCCGTGGACAACCAGAGCCAGCTGCCTAAGCCCAGCACGGGGACAGACCTGCCAGCAGCCTCTCAAATAGCTGCTTTTTTAAGAACCATTTCCTCACCCATGATGACCAGCGCCATGTGCCGAGCTCCCGGCCCAGGAGCTGTGTCCAGGCAGACGAGTGCACGCAAGACACGGGCGCGGGGGCACTGACAGGGCGGGGAGGCCAGAGGCCACAGGCCACGAGCACAGTCCAGGCCACGGAGACTGCTGTGTACCGGCCCCACCGCCGCTGGGATTCAGCTCAGGCCCTCCAGCTTGCACCCGGCAGCTGGGTGCCATGAGAATTAGAAGCAGCGGCAGCGCAGGGAGCCCACGTTGAGCTGCATGTATGTGTCACGGGTGCCCTGGACCCACGTATTCATGGCCAGCTGCCCAACCGGGCCCGGGCCTGGGGCCAGCAGTGGCCTTCTCGGGCCTTCCTCGGGGCCACAGCAGCAGACACGCAGCGCAATGGGCCGCTGCCTCAAGGCTCCTCACCGGGAAAGAGGATCTGGACTTCCCACTCAATGCTGCCTCCCCAGAGTCACCCACTAGCATGATGTGCGAGCAAAAAATCAGCAGCACCCCACACGGAGCAGGCCCTGCACCCTCAGAAGACAGAGGCCCTGACACGCGGGGGTGGGCACTGGACGCAGCCAGGAAGAGAATGAGAGCCTCCCAGAGGGAAGGTCGGCAGGGCACAGACCCCACGGGGAGGGTCCCCGGGGCCCCAGGCAATCCAGGAGGGGCCCCTGGAGGCTCAGGCAGCTCCCTAGGGCATCACCAGCCGCGCGGAAGCCTCCGGGTTGTTCTACAGAGACCGCACGGGCAGGGGAGAGAGTGACCACAGGCGCCAAAGCCTGCGAGGCTCCAGGAGGCCGTTTTTAATAGTCCCCAGGACCCTGAGGTCCGTCCCCGGGGAAGCCACGGAAGGGCCTCGCCCCATGCATGTGACCACGCTCAGCTGCAGCAGCGGAGCCTGAGGGCCCAAGGGACAGAACCGCGTGACGTGAGAAATGGTGGCGGAAGCGGGGCCAGCACGGGCCGAGGGGCGCCGACTCAGATGCAGGCCAGGCCCTGCCGTGCGGGCACCAGCAGAGACGTGCTGGGCGCCTGACCCCGACCTCGCGGTCCTGCACGTCGCCGTGACGTGAGCTGCAGCAGCCGCGCCCAGAACGCACCCCAATCTCTTTTAGGTCTTTGTCTTGCAGTAACTGAAGGGGGTCGATAAATGTCTGCTTCACGGTGATGTCCAGAGAGTCCTTGACTTCAGCCATCAGCTTCATGGACTCGCCGACCTCCAGCAGGGCGTTGCCTGCAACAGAGACGCGTTAACGCTGCTGGGCGCCGCCATGTCCCCCAGAGGGCTGCGGGGCAGGGACGCGGGACGCAAGTCCTGACCAGAGCAAGGCGGCCTGCGGCCCACCCGCCACACGGCCCCAGGCGGCGCCCGCGAGCAGGCCGTGACCTCTGGCACAGAGGCTCCTTAGAGGCCGGGAACAAACCCTCTTTGTAAGCAGTGAAAGGATTCTTTGGGGCAGCGCAGGGCTCACCCACGAGGGCTACCACGGCCATAAATGAACAAAACCTCGTCCCAGCTTCTGGCTGGGTGCTCTGGAGGCCCCGCCCATGCCGGGGTCAGGCTGACCTGGCAGCGCCACCGGCCTCCGGGCAGGGGTCTGCTCTGGATGGCCTGGCCCTCCCTGCAGCTCCACCAGCCGCCCCCACTGACTAGCAAGCAGGCCGCTGTGGCTGGGGGCGCGGGCTCTGGAGACGATCCCTCAGGGAGAGGCTGGGTGAGGTCTCCCGGGTTCTCCAAATTGACTAGTAAAGACCGTGGGGGTGGGGGTTGCGGCTCCCCTCCCATGAGGGAGGACGTGGCCAAGAGTGTGCCCAGCGGACACTCACTGCAAGTAGCTCCCCCTGCGGACAGAGAGGCCTGGCCCTTCCCTGCGTGGGCACCCTGCGCTGCCTCAGACCCCACCCCTCCTGCCCCAGTGGCCAGCAACTTGAGCCTGGACACCAACACCCCGAGCGGGGGTTCCAGAGGGCTGAGGCCCCACCACTCCCCTCCCTGTCCTTGCCCAAGGCCAGCATGTCCAGCACCACGGGTCTGTTGTCTAGTGTCATGGGTCATGGGTCATGATGCAGCCGCTGACGGCAGGCCCGTCCTGGGCGTAGACGTGCGTGTGCTCCCACCTGGGCCAGGAAGCCCCTCTCGGGACCAGGCCTGCGCGTCCGACAAGGACAGAGACTTCAGGACACCCAGGCAGAGGCCTGGGAGTGACCCGCACACCCTGTTTTAACCTCCTTAAGGCTGCGCCATGTGCCTGAGAATGAGCAAGAGGGGAGCACACGGGGCAGGGGAATTGTCCTGCATGGATCCGCCCGGTTCCTGGGCCCTGCCTCGAGCACCCACTGTGAGCACTGCTCTGTGACACCAATGACAGACGCCGGGCTCAGCGGGGCTGCCGTCTTGCCGGCCCCGGGCACTCACCAAAGCTGGAGTCCTCCCCGAGCTCCTTCCCGTACTTCAGCAGACAGTCGCCCAGCAGGCCCTCCGTCTGGGGGTACCCCGTGGTTTTCACCTGCCCCCGGATCTTCGACACGGTGTTCAGCATCCCCAGCTTCGCTCTGTATGCTTGAAGACATGGTCGTCTGTGACCCTTTCCGGGGACAAGGGGGTGCAACAGGTGCACCTCGCAATCCCCGGAGAAGGCACTGCCACGCAGCTCCCCCACAGGCCAGACCCGGACCCGCCAGCACCTGGTCTCTCCTGGGGACCCAGCGAGACCAGGATGGCGAGACGCAGCTTCAAACTACCAGCTGGTGTCCACCCGCCCCGGATTTTACCCAGGAGGATTATACTGGACAGCCAGGGACGCCTGGGGAGAAAGGGGTCACCCCCCCACACTGGCCGTGGGCGGCCCCTTGGGCAGCTCAGCTCCTGGTCCCGGGAGGGGCCGCTCTCCTGGGCCTCGGGCCGCAGGACTTGGAAATGGGCTCTGGGGTGCCGGTGAGCAGGCCGAGGGTATGGGGATGGGGGGATGCCTGGCCCAAACCCCAGGAAGGGCAGGTGCCAGGAGGAAGTCCAGCACCACGGGTGCTGCTTGGGCTGCAGACAGCTGCGGGCAGGGATGACTGTGCTGAGCACCGGCCTCGGGCACGTTTCTGTTTTAGAAAACCAGCTTCTGAATTTTCGCTTTCTAGATTTTCCCAGGTTGGGCCTGTGCCGCGCCCACAGCTGGGATCACCTTGGCTCCCACAGCAAAGGGCCAGCTGGCGCGACAGTCCAGGCTCAGATGACCTTGCCGGCTCCTGAGGTCACCGCCTGGTCCCCAGGGCTTGGCCGGAGACTAGACCGGAGGGGGTGCCCCGCCCAACCCTCTGGTCCCGGGTGCAGGGTCACCATGGCAACCACCCGCATGCTTCTCTGGGGTCTGGACACAGCCTTGTCCACTCCCACCACATGCAGACGCTGGGTATCTCCCGACTTTACCTGGATTTGGCTGAAGATATTCTGTGGTTTTTGAAAGAATTTCTGCAACAGCTTTATTGGTGACGTCTATTTTCTTAAAGAAAAACCACACACACACATACACACACATACATCAATGACAAACTCGGGGCATTCACAGCAGACAGCAACATCTCAGCTGCGCTGTCCTGCCGGTGCCCAAGTTGCACGTGGCTGCTAAGGCCCCCGAGAGACCCGCCGAGCCCAGGGAGCAGGGCAACAGGTGGGCTGTGCCTCTCGAGGTTCAAAGACAAGCTTTTTCCATAAAGCAAAGCAGAATAAGCCGCCCCGCCCCAGTACTAGCCTTTCTAGAAACCCGCTGCTCTCATCTAGGCAGACTGCAGGTCAGTGTGTCCAGGCACAGGGGCCCTGGAGAGAGGGACCCCCCAACACAGCCTGGGCCAGACCCCTCCCCGGCCACTGCTACGGCCCCACCTATGGTCACCGGCCCTCACTGGGCTCCTCGCCCGCGGGCAGGGGCCGTGCTTGCTCCCTCGTCCCTGGGGTGTGACAATTCAGCTGTCCACAGGGTGTGACACGAAGGGAAGGACACAGGGACTGGCAGTTGCTGGTGGCCCCAGGCCTGCCCCCAACCAAGCCCTCTGAGCTGACCAGGAAACTGCACAGATTTCAGTTCTCCAGGAGCCGGTCACGGGACCGTGGCCTTCTCCTTGCAGCCGCTGTCCCTGCCGGGACGGGCGCCTCCGGCGCGTTCTGGCTTTTGTCCACTAGAGAGAGCCAGAGCCCCAATCCCGCCTCCAGGCCAGAGGGTGGGGCACAGGAGTGCGCCCCGGGGGTTTGCCCCGTCCCTGCCCCCTGCGCCCCGCCCCCCGCCTGCCCCCGCCCCCCGCCAGCCCCCACACGAGCCCAGGCCCCATGGCAGCCAAAGTCAAGTCTGTAGAAAAATCACATGAAATGCTCTTACCCTTTCCATGTCCAGAAATTCCTCGTCCAGTTTCGTTCCTTCAACGCCACTTATTTTCTCACTAAGCAGCTGCAGAAATAAACACAAGTCACTGCACTGCACGGTGGCCGCCCTCACGCCACCACGTCATGACAACAAGGCAAAACGTCAGGTCAGCCTGTGGGTTTCTGCCCGAAGCCCTGTAAAATTGTCGAACCTTATCTTTGGGGTGGGGCCCCCCAGGCCCGACCTGCCGGGACAGCTGACAGGGGAGGGAACAGCGGCACGGCGGGGTTGGGGGGGTGCTGGGCCGCACCTGCTGGGCTTCTCTGCCCGGAGCCTGGCCCTGGGGGAAGCAGGGGGACGCCCCATGACACGCAGGCCCAGGCCCCACGCCAGCTTTGAGACGGGGTGGGGAGAACAGGGGCTGGAGAGGTCGGTCTGTGAGCCCTGGCAAGGTCAGCCTTGGCAACCTGCAGGGCAGGGAGACTGGAAAGCAAGGAGTCAAATGGTCGGCCCAGCCCAGGCCAGATCCGGTGACCCGGCTGTCACCATCCAGCATGTGGGGCCTTGGAGACCAAGGGTGAGAAGCCCAGCAGCAGGAGGGGAGAGTGACCAAGGTCCCCAGGTGCACACGCCCGGAAACGTGGGTCTGAGGTGCACTAGAGCATGGCCCAGCCCAATCCCCATGGCAGGGACAGCCCTGGAGCCCAACAGTGCTCTGGGGGGTCAGCAGCAGGCAGGTGTGACCCCTGATGAAGAGCAGATCACCCCTAAAGGGAACGACTAAGTGGCTGTAACGTGGAACTCTTGGAAATAAAAAACAGTTGTGAAAATGAAAACTTCAGTGATGGAAAACTCTAGACTAGGTGCCTGGAGAGGCCAGCGAGGGACTCGAGGACCAGGGTAGAGCATCGCAAAGGGCAGCACTGCGTTTTTAATGAACAGGGAATATCGGCTATGCAGGGAGGAGGCGCGAGGGGCTCCAGGCCCCCTCTGACGGTGCAGGGGAGGGCAAGCGCGTCAGGAACCACAGCTCATCCCTGGAACTGAAGTTGGGGGAGCCGTGCTAGACACCCGGTCCCAGGTGAGCAAGAGCAGTGTCAGCCCAGACATCCCGAGAGATGACCATCCCGTGGAAGGCGACGGAGGGACAGCCCGGCGCCCCAGAGCACTGAGCGACGCCCAGGACGAGGCCTCCCCGGGCGCCAGGGGAAACACGGATCATCAGGTGCCCAGCCCAGCCATGTGCCAGACCCAGAAAGTGAGCGGCAGGGCACCCAGGAGCAGCGTGAAAAGGACGCGGCCAGAACCCACGAGCCCCTGGCAGCAACCAGCTCCACCCCTGCAGAAACACTGCCCAGGAAGGGAGAGACGGAGGCCGCGGGTTTCCCACAGGGGGACGCCGGGGAAGCCGGGGGAGAGGACACGGCTGAGAAAGAGCCTGGAGGGGCAGCCGTCCGCGGTCAGCGAGGGCCTGACCAGATGCGCACCCACCGCCCTCCGCTGGGTCTCAGGAAAGGCTGCTTCTGGGGAGAAATCGCAGAGGCCAGTGTTCCCCGGAACACACTTTGAGAAGGCCCGCCACCCTGCCCACACCTGCGTCTCTTCTGTCAACTGTGAGCAGCCAGGCTCGCTCTCGCCAGCTCGGAAAATATGGCAAGTCTCAGCTATGAATGTAAACGATGAAAACTATTTGCAAGTTACTACTGCGGGGAGCTGAGCAAAGGCTGTGTGTGAGCTCTCTGCGCGAGCGTGGAGACGTTTCTGTGCGTCTAAGATCATTTCAGAGTGAAAGACGGTTTTTGCAGCTCTGGGGGCATCAGAGCCGCAGGGCGGTCAGGAGCTGGGCAGCCTCATGGCGGGGGGGACGCCCTGGGAAGATGGGGCTCACAGCTGCTGCTTCTCCGGGGAGACTCTGCTGTAGCACAGGGCGTATCGGCTGAGCAGGACACGCAGGAGTGGACCGTAGCCTAGGAAACCAGAGCAGAAGAGGAGAAACTGCAGGCAGAAAGGGAATCATAAAGGAGCAGCTCCCCCAGCCACACGCGGCCCCCAGGCTCCGGCAGGCGAGGAGCTGTGCAGACAGCAGGCCAGACGTGGGGGCCGCACAGAGGCCGCTGAAGGCGGGAGGCCCGGTGGGGATCCTGCAGCGTCATGGCATCAGACACAAGACTGGGGTGGAGGACAGAGGACAAAGAGACATCACAGTGGACACCCCGGGCTTTTGGTCCATCCCTGAGGGCCTGAGAGTGATGGCAGTCAGCGCCTCGGAAGAAATGGGTGGCGATGGACCGCATGACACAGGAGGCAGTGACTGCAGACGGAAGTTTCAGTCGCTGCCATCAGGACTTCAGCAGGAGGGTTAGTAACAAGTAGACACTGCAGAAGAGAGAGGCTCTGGGCTGGAAGGTAGTCCCTGGGACGTGACCACACGGGAACTCAAGGGGACGGATGAAAAATACAAAGGAGCGTTATACACAAACTGGACATCGTGACAACACTGAGCTGACGTGAGGGCAGAGAAATGGGGGAAAATGTTATCTGCAGAGAAGATGGCCACGGGTCAGTCCATGCAGCCAAGGGACAAAGCGCTGGAGGCGAAAGCCCTTGCATGGCCCTGAAGCAGGATAAATGTGCACACAAGCACACCCAGGCGTGGCTCTGAAAATGGCCAGAAACTCTGGTTTTCAGGGCGCAGCACACCCACATTCTCTTCGGACGCCGGCCTGTTTAAAGGCACCGTCAAAGATTCCTGGGAAAAATGAAAGGTGCTGAAGACGCGAAGCCTCCCTCAGGCGGCAACCCCGCAGCTCAGGCAGGGCCGCTCTTCAGAGTGAAGGACTCTGGGGATTTTTCCGTTATTCTCGCTCCAGCCCACGCAGGCTTTTCCCTGCAGACGCCTGGGAGGTGTTACTGGACATCTGACCGGTAAAGACCACGCGTGCCCGCAGGCAGAGCCGGGGCCTGCCCACGTCGGGCCTCTCCGCTGCCAAACCCAAACTACTGCCGCCAACATTTAGTAATTTTGCTTTCTGAGAAGCAGCTGTAATGACAGAACAAGGAAAGAAAATCGGTGGGTGAAACTCAGCTCTGGAGCCAAAGAAAGCTGGTGCCCCCCAGGAAGGGGCCCTGCTGACTGGGCAGGGGCACCCCACGGCAGGGTCTCCCTGTCCAGGCCAGCTGCAAGTGACCGGTGCAAAGGGAGCAGGGTGGCTGGGGGCCTCGCCTCGGGGGGCAACACCAGGTATGGCTGCAGCCCTCCCCCGCCTGGCCTCCCCTCCCTCCTGGGAAACGCACACGTGCAGCCCCTGTCATCACGTTCGGCCCCAAATCAGTCCCCAAGCTACAGGCCCGCGGCCTCATGGACATCCACACGCTCATACCAAGTTTGCTCCCTCCACACACCGCTCCTCCCGCACCTCTCACAGAAGCACCCCCTGCCCAGCTGGTAAGGAGGGCTTCGGGCTCTACCTCAGACGCACACATTCACCCCGAGCTAGTGCTGCGTGACTGTGGAAAGGGATCCGACAGCTAACAGCCAGCAGGCACCTCCCTGCCCCTCTGAGGTCAGCAGCACTGGCCATGAGCCTGCAGGGACACAGCCCCCTGAGGAGCAGCAGGGCATCTGGAGAGCCGGGAGCTTGCCACGTCCACCCCGACCTCAGACAGGCCTCCACCCCGGAACCCTGTGTTTCCAACACGTTCCTGAATGTGCTGTGCCAATGAGGTTCCAGATGATACAAAAAATGTGAAACCTGAATCTTAACTCGTCCCTCACACGACTCGGGATCACCAGTTCCAGGGAAACGCAGAGGTGAACATTACACAGAGAGCACATCGTGATGGCTTTGGGCAGGCAAATACTCCTTAAACCGGACAGGAAATTATACAGTGAAAGCTCATAAAAATGCACGGCCTCAAAATGAATGCTGCTACAAAATAACATCTAACTCGAATACTATATGTTGTTATATAAAATACTACAGCAGTAATCGCTTCTCCGCCTTTTGGCTAAGATCAAGTGTAAACTACTACAGTAGTTATTAATTTCTATTACTGTCAACTCTATGCAACAAAGTATTTCTAACTTTTCATTTTCTTGGGAAAGGATGTTACCTTTCCCCATATTTCTGTGGTTTTGTTGGTTTTTTTTAAGATTTTTCATTTATTCAGGCATAAAAGAACTGGGGTATAGGCCAGAGGCGCGGGAGGGTGAGAAGACTCACCAAAGACAGAGCGGGGAGCAGAACAGGCAGACTGACTGAAACATATTGCTGAGGGGAGCAGCGGGTGAGTCAGGAGGTCTGCTGCACCATGTGGGAATCTCCCTGGCCGGCTGCGATCGAACCCGCGCTGCAGAGACTGTGGACAGCTTCACAGCGCTGCGCTCAACAGCCTGCGCCACCGGGGAGGCCCTGGTTTCGTTTTAATAAAGGCCTTTGAAGATTGACATTAAAGGAAGAAGGAATCTCTGTGATCAAGCAGAATCAGACTTGATAGAAACTCATCCCTGTATCTACCCTGATAGTTGTCACCTTGCTGAGGGCCAGGAACACTCCCAGGGAGGCCAGAAGCTCACAAGGTGGAGCTGGAGTCTGTGGGTGGATGCCAGGTACCAGGGCCCCCAGGCAGCTCCCGGGAGGAGGCCCAGCCCAGGCACTGGGTACAGAGGCCACAGCACCACTTCCTCAGCTATCCCCTGCAGCCAGCTTGCTGCGGGGAGGTGCAACGCCAAAAGAGGAGTGGGCACGCCTCCCGCCTTGTATGCAGGCAGAGAAAGGGTTACTGATTCCTTCCTCTTTTCACCCTGGCCGCCAGGGAGCTCGACATGAAATCTGACAATAGCGGTGACTCTGGAGATCTTTTCCGGAGCATATTCACATGTGAATGTGCCACACAAACCTCCACAAGCCTTGACTTCACCACGATGTTATATATTTCCTGACCATGGGTCATTATTCTTATTTACATTTTACTTTTTAAACTCCTTATAAGCTGCTGCAACTCCCATATGGGACAGGAGACCATACAAAAACTGAGTTTTCTTAAGTTAAAAATCAAGTTTTTTTAAGTAAAAACTCTTGCAC